TCAAGGGTTGACAGACTAAAAAATGCATGACTAGGGTACTGTCCTCATCCGAAGGTCGTTATTGGTCAGCTGAACAACGGTATAATTAAACTCGAAGGCTCGATGGGCGAATACGAATTTAAAGATTACATCCAGCCCGTTGGAGAATACCGAACGATCGTTTTCGAATGCAACAAAGGATATGTTCTTCAGGGTGAACCTCGCAGATACGAGGCAAAGTGTACGAGACTTAACGGGTTCATTTTAGGACCTACGAAGGCGACGTGCGTCAACGGTTCGTGGCAGCCAAAGGTCAAACCAAGATGCGTGCTGCAAACGCATCCGAAATTGTCCAATCGAATCATGTGGGACGTACTCAGCAGAGACAAGCGCCAATTTCGGGGTGGCTCGCTTCATCTGTCGGATGTGATCTATTCGCCGGCTAACATTTCGGCTGCTCATCAACTGAAACGTAAAGATCGGTCCAGGTCAGCGAGGACATCAAAAATAAATGGCACGGTGCACTTGGCCGCGTCTGATCGATTACAGGAAAGCGATACTCACCGATTAAGTACGTACAGCAACCGATGTTTTACTCTGATTCTGAGCTTTTTAATCGCCACAATTTATTAATTTATATTTTTGAAGTTATTTCGAGCAATTGATGTTTTCTGGGAGGAAGAGAGGGTAGCATTAGTCGGTCTTCCTTTACTTTCATGAATGGGCTATTTTGACAACCTTCTTTTCTTGTAGTTGATGATGCAGTGATGATCTCCGTTTCTGTGCCATCAGCCAGGAGTGCCGTATTTTAAAGGCAGAGTTTACAAGCATGTGACATGCGTAGAGTGTAGTCTTTTATTTCCTTCCTGCAGAGTGGTACTCGTTTATCAGTCGCTGAAGGAAGAAGGGCGAGTCACCCTGACTATGGCTTGAACTCTGAATATCAGGTCTGAGTTCGACGCTCAACCGACTGGCTGACGCATTACATAGTAAATTCCTTGCTTAAAGGAATTCGTGGATAAGATAAAGGGTTTGCCTTCGAGCCGAGTTCAAAGCAAACCTTTTCAGCGACTGTGCCATCGTGCACGGAAGAGAGGGCGGCAGAGACCCAACGCGACAGGTTGTTATATACTTTGAAGGTGTCTGATTCAGACTCTAAATGTAGTAAAAAATTTTTCTTATTAATTGCTAATTCACCTCTTTGCGCTTTGGCGAACCCACCCGAGAGATGCAATTACCTGCGAATAATAGACACGGTATGGTGTTCTGATGTAGGCATGCCAGTACGAGCTGCGAGACAAATGCCATACTCTGCGATGCGTGCGCTTTACGACTGAAATTCGCCTGAGGTGTGATTAAAAATCATGAGGTGTCAGAACCAACATGACAGATGACTAAAAGTCAGCGTTAGGCATGTAGCCCGTATTTACTGTTATATATTTGCGTATAGATAGTGGTAGATTTATTTGATGTTAGAACTGAGAGATGCGATCCTGCATCCAATGCATTGCAGGTACTCAGATACCATGAAGCTGTAATCTACTGAAACGATGACCTCAGGCAACTACAAGCAACCGGACAATGTGCTTACGCCTAATAAATCCGCTATCTATTGAAATGTAAATCTTCAAAATTCAGAGTCTTAACAAATGTCTGACAATGTATTCACGAAGAGTCCGTCTATTTGTATGTAAGATGATAGGATGAAGCAGGATAAATATACCTCTGAAAATTATACGTTGAAACTCAAGACTCTAGGAATCATGTAAACTTTCCATTCCTGAAATTAGAATGCTAATCAGCTCAGTTACTGTGAAAATATTCCTGGACGCGATACACGATGCGTAAACAAGCAATTGGAGTCTGATTGTGGAATTAGCTAGTGGAACATTAAAATCCTCCAGTGTCCATTGTTATCAACGGTTTTATTGGCCTTGCAGCGTAGTTATTATGATACACATCACAGAAACAGTTCTTACGGTGACAGAGGTTGAATTAGCAATTCAAACTAGTTTGGCGTTGTTCGCCGTTGGTCATTTAAACGCTTGTATTGCTGTTCGTATTTATTTTTGAACTCGAAAAGTACCAGTAGATGCCCTGATTAAGATATGTAAGATAGAGTTAAACGGCTACCTCAGGGTTAAGGTCGATAGCAGCTTATTTTATCTCCAGTCAATAGACAGCGCTGGGTCACAGAGGTAAACGGATACTCGAATTCCAGAGGAGCCATGGCTGAGGTTCTAAAAATGGACAAAACATTAGAATTCAACGAATTCACACCGTGTATCTTTGGTGCAGTCAGCTGAGGAGCAGCACGTAGCAAGTGGTTAACTTGCGAACAACAAGGAGAGCGTAGTGCCCCGACGTGGTCATACCGTAACCATGGTCACGCTGTCCGATGCGAGCACCCTTCGGGACTGCAGTTCGCCTTGACTAACGTGATCGCTCATTGTCCAGTGTAATAATCAGCACAAGGCGGAATTCCCCAGAAAGCCGTGCGTCCGTCGATCATGTTCAAGTTGATTGACTGGTTACTTGTTTTGCTAGGCTGCGAAATTCCTGGCGTCAAAAATGGCTTTTTCGTCATGCACAACGAATTTCTGAAACCTCACGAACAGCTCTACAGTGGCGCTCGAATCACAATGTACTGCTTAGACGGATTCGAACTCGTCGGCAACGACACCAGCGAATGTCGCGACGGAATTTGGATAGACGCTTTTGGCCATTGTCAAAAAAGTATGATTTTGAAGTTGGCTAACATAATCTGGAGGTGAGTTTTGAAACTTGCTTACGTGGTACCGTCTTGCAAACGTACGGCGACGCCTGGACCGTTATTCAATGTCTGAATGCAATGACTTGTTCGATAATAAGTTCATTAAACCAGTGTCTTCAAGGAACATGTCTACGTTTCATGGGCTTGGTTTGAGAGTTCAGCGGCTGACGTCGTTCTTTGTGTATGATTTTGGAGTGCAGTCTGCTCTGTTTCTGATTATCACGATGATAAAGAGAAGAAATAGTGCAAATAATCAGAAACCACCAATGATCATCTGCCAACCATAGGTATATGTTTGTGCGTCTGATAATCCACTTGAGCGGTTGACGTAAGCAGAATGTCTCAGGTTTATGATGTCAGCTGTATTCATAGCTTTGCAACACTTTTGCTATAAGGCACCGGTTGCTGCATCGCAAAAAGAATAATGCCTCTCTGAACGCAGACCTGCCTCTGCCATGAACATCAAGGTTGCATGGTGGTCTCTTGGTCGACCGCTGGCAAGTTTCAGACCCTTAAACAGAACCTCCGAAGTTGGAGTAAACGGTTTATAGTAAACCAGTTTGTCAAACAGGATCAGCCTCATTTTCTTAATCCCCTAATCCGTGGTGCACCCCGGTGCTGTGAATAAGACCAAGTCGTTTCCTGCGAGTTGCTTCCATTTAACTCTAATTATGCATCGAATCTAACGTTGTCGTACGCATTGACAACTTGTGATTTTCAAAACTCGTTTCGATTCTTCCACTTCTGCTTCAATAAAATGTTTTCGGTTCAGTAGTTATAAACATAAGTACAAGACTGTTGTTGACGTTATTATTTTTATTTTTATTT